TAGGAAAAGGAAAGAAAGTGTATAAATTGGTTAAATCATTATATGGTTTAAAACAAACGCCAAAATAATGACATGAGAAATTTGACAAGGCAATGATGTCAAATGGTTTTAAAATTAATGAGTGTGACAAATGTGTTTAAATAAAAGCACGGACAAATGTTATGTCATTGTATGTCTTTATGTAGATGATATGCTCATCATAGGTAGTAATAATGAAATGATTAAAACTACCAAGAAAATGTCGAATAAACATTTTGACATGAAGGACATGGACATTGCTAATGTAATTCTTGGTATGGAAATTACCAAAATATCAAAAGGATATGTTTTGTCACAATCTCATCACATTGAGAAAATACTTGACAAATTCAGCAAAGATGATGACCATCTTGCTAGAACACCAGTAGGCGTTAATTTGTTTCTTTCTAAGAATGTACAGGAAAGTATTTCTCAATTAGAGTATGTCCAAATTATTGGAAGCTTAATGTACTTGATGAATTGCACTTGCCCGAATATAGCTTATCCAGTAAGTAAATTAAGTACATATACGAGTAACCAGGAGTAGAACATTGGAAAGCAATTATAAGGGTTCTTAGATATCTTCGATTTACTCGTAACATTGGGCTGAATTATACTAGATATCTAGCAGTACTTGAAGGTTACTGTGATGCAAACTGGATATCGGATACAAGAGACTCAAAGTTCACTAGTGGGTATGTCTTTACTCTTGGTGGGGCGGCTGTATCTTGAAAATCTTCCAAACAGACTTGCATTGCTAGATCTACTATGGAATCATAATTCATAACATTAGACAAAGCTGGGAAAGAAGCAGAATGGCTTCACTACTTCCTTGAAGATATTCCTATATGGCCAAAACTGGTGCCTGCTATATGCATACATTGTGATAGTCAATTAGTAGTAGGGCTGTGTAACGGGTCATCCGACGCGCCAGATTCGTCCGACCCGTGCTGTTTTGGGTGGATGCGTGAGCTATGGCGGACGGATATGGGTCCAAAATATCCAATTTCGCGAATTCGGGTCGGGTCGCGAGTAATCCGTCATTTCCATTCATGTACCCGACCTGCCCGCCTCACCTATGTTTTTCCCCCCTTTTTATCCCTCTGTCTCACCCCCATTTTTTCACTTCACGTTTGTTGCCCTAGGTTCTTCCTTCGACGGCTCTATCTCTCTCTCTCAACTCTCTCTCTCTCTCTGCCTCTCTTTCTCACTGGAATGACAGTGAGTGACGATCAGCGAGCTGCGACTGTGGCGGCGAGCAATGATCGGCGATCGGCGACACTGGTGAGCAGCGATCGAAGCCTCGATTCAAATCTATTCTTCTCTTCTCCTCTTTTCTTCTTCTCTTGTTCTATTTTCCTCATTTTCTTCTCTTCTCAACCTGTGTTCTATGTTCTGTGTTCTTAACCTAATCACAAATTCATTTTTTGTCTCTCTCTAAATTTTCAGTCCGATAGAGTGAGAGCAAGTTCGTTTTATCAGTAAGTCCTCCTTTGAATTCTCTCTTTCTTTGTTCTTCTCTTGTATTGTTGGTTGTATTTGTTAATAAATATTGTCTGTTCATTACACTGTTTGACTCACTATTTGTGTACCTATAATTTATCTCACAATCCATGGAAACTCTCATGATCTCTTGCTTTTTTAATTTTTCTGCTATGACTAGCTTGTTTCTGGCTTGTATTTGATTTCTGGGTTGTTAACTTGTTATCTGTATGTGTATTCTTTTTCATTTTTTTTGATTCCCACTAGTTGTTTGATGAAATGTTTCAAACTTATTATAATGAACAGAATATAGAATGCATGAACAATTTTTTAATGAAATCTTTTTGATGAAATAGTTGTTATCTGCAAGTGTTTTTATTTTGGTTTGACGAACTTATGTGTGAACCAGAAAATTTCATTACAGAATTATTTTGAACTCATCTGAAAGTGTTTTTATTTTGAACTTATCTGCAAGTTCATTACAGAACTTATCTGCAAGTGTTCTTATTTTGAACTCCATTACAGAACCAGAAAAGTTCCCCATTTTCAACTCCATTACAGAACCAGTAGGAACTCTTGGTACAAGAAATCAGAATTATTTATGCAAGTCAAGAATTATTTATCTGCACAGTGCACAGTGTTTGTATATACATTGCACACAAGTGGTGATTGAGGAGAGAAGTCCACATTTTTTGTTTTTTGTTTTGTTTTTTGTTTTGTTTTTTTGAGGAAGTTCGCATGTTGAATTATGTTGAAAATTAAAATTTTAAACCACCAAACCGATTTGCATCCATTCGTCAATCCGCCAATCCGCATCCGCCGGATTGGCGGACGGATGCGGATTGATTTTTTCCAATCCGCCAATTTGGCGGACGGATGGCGGATTGAAGGTTTCGTGGCCGCAACCGACCCACGCCCACCCCTAATTAGCAATAGGTAGAGCACAGAGTTATATGTATAACAGTAAGTTACGACACATTCGTCGTTGACATAACACCGTAAGACAACTACTCTCTAATGGAATTATTTCCATTGAATATGTGAAGTCTAAAGACAGCATAGCGGATCCACTAACCAAAGGGTTAGGAAGAGAGTTAGTTGAAAATTCATCGAGGGGAATGGGACTAAAGCCTATTAAATAAGAGTTACCACAACGGCAACCCAACCTAGTTGACTGGAGATCCCAAGATCTAGGTTCAAAGGGACAACCGAGTTGTGTATGACTCAGAAAGATCACTGGGGAGTCTAACTTCTACCCATTTCTATGATGAAATAGTGATGTTTGCAGCGTTTTAGGTTAAATAAAATTTTAATGATTCTTATATCTAGGTAAACTTAGTGGAGCATGGTTGGATACTCTTCATAAGAATCACCTACGTGAGTGTGAAGTAGGCCGGTTCTATGAGATTTGTGAAGGGCTACAATTCTCTAGAGCACTCATGAAAGACTAGGTTGTCTAGGGCCAAAATGAACACAATAGTGAGAACTAAACTATGTCTGGGAATATACTGTGTGAGTTTTATTGTCTTGATTTACACAAACAGCTGAACAGTTCAAGACATCATATTCACTGGTTAGCTAGTAAATCCGATAGTGTCTCACAAGGGAAGGTTCAAAGCCAAAAGCTACCTATCATTTACAGAATATTTTCAATTTCTGTACTCTTTGTATTTAGATCATGTCGTTGCATTTTCTCTCCGTCAAATTCCATCCATGTGGGGGATTGTTGGAAAAATGGTGTAATATAGGCTTATTTTGGGCCATCTTTGAGCCTAAAATTGAGTGGGCCCCAAACGTCTTTTGGATTGGGTCTGAAGAGGTAATATGTTCCTTGCTGCGTGGCAAGTCACACGGTGAAGACGGTACGCCAAAACCATTTATGAGTGAATGGGAAGTTGACGTCGTTTCTGAGTTTGTGGAATTGAACATTTAAAGATTCAAATATGGGTTTCCTTTTAATGGATTGTCCCACATTGAAACTTTAAGAGAGCTTGTATATGTATATAAGCTCTAGACTACAACACTTGGGTTGGGCCCGAAGGGGCACCCCAAGTTTATAGAAGGGAGGAGTTATGGACAAAGTGAATCTTAATACAAACCACCACACGCCCGCTCGCGTTGCTGCCGCCGTCCGTTCGGTCGTGCCGTGCGCAGGTGTCGGTTGTGTATTGTGGGTCGGGTCGATTATAATATTAATTTTTTAGATAAAATTTATTTGAATTTTTTCCAGAAATTCTTAATGAAATTAAATTCCAATTTTGTGTCAAAATTGAAATTAATTTTCTGTCTATATATTACCAACTTCAGTCCAAATTCCACACGGTTTCAAACTAGTTTTACAGTTATTTAACTACCATAAACAGCCCAGTTGAACCCAATAGATTCTTTACCAGTTCGAATAGGTTAAAAGTCCAAACAAATCTGTTGCACCCGAACAGATTCAAACTGGCCTGAACAGATCTAATTATTGTGTAGTTATATGTTGTAACTGCCAGATCTGTTTGATTTTTAGACAGCATCTGTTCAATTCAAAATCCCACATGTTCACTTCAAATTAGCACCTATTCAGGTCAGATTTTTTGCCTATAAATACAGCCATGTTCCAGTAGTCTTCACATCTGAAAATCCGTCAGAAAAATATTGTTCTTGCTGTCCAAATTTTATTTGTTTACATTATTCTTCATATTAGTTATTTAGAGTAATATTCAGAGAGTTATAGAACACAATGTTCTAGTTCGCCGAACAAATTTGTTAGAAGTGCTACTACAAATTTATGAAGATTACTGTATCCTGAGAGATACGCCATATAACCGTAAGCACCGTAGTGGGGCGAATCTGTCTTAAGGACAGAGTGTCACACACTCGACTTGGTCTTTTATTTTTTCATTTGGTTCAATAAAATAAATTCAGTAAGTTTTTATTTTATTTTATTTTGTTTGATTTAGTTTCAATTTATTTTATTTACATAGAAGATTGTTCCAACGTATAATATATATTTAATACTAATAAGATATTTTTGTGTTTATGGTAGCTAACAAATTATGTATCCGTATATATCTAAAAGGTCCGGTTTGGTTCTAAAACAGATTTGTAATTATAATAGTAATGATAGAGACCCTAACGAAATACAACCCTCACAACTCCCAAAAACACAACCCCCATAATCTCCAAAATGATCTGAATCATTCATATCACTGTCAGACACAACTCTAAAAAAAAAAATTAAAAAAAAAATCAATACATTAGTGGGGCCACGGGAGTCCTTTTCTGTGGGAGTCCCAAACATTTTTCTAATTATAAAATCACGAACTGAATTATGAAGTATGATTTGCCAATTTTAAGAATCAATACCAAATCGCGAAGTGAGAACATCAAACCAAATTGAACAATTTGATCTGAATCAAATCAATTTGCGATTTTTTTCAATATTTATGCTCACCCTATAATTTGTCATGCCTAAAAGACTTTATATTCACATAGCCACAACATAACACCAACCAATCAAAAAGAGAAAGAGGAGTCCATCCATGCTCTAATATTGTCACTACAAGTCATTTCACTACCCATAATAAATAGAATTTCCCAAATATATATAACAGTCACACTATATGTGACAAAACATTTAAGTTTCAAGTAGGTTGGATGATCAAGTATAAGCCAAGGCCACAACATCTATAGCTTCCTTGCCTCACATTATTGGAATCTCCTTCTCCACCTTTGGTAGTGCATTTTCAACCTACATGACCACAAACAAATGAAGAAAGAAAAGAAAAAGAAAGAAACTATTTGTTTGAGTTTTGAAATTTTTTTTTGATTTTTTTAAAAACTAATTTGGTGAAAAACTCAAAACATAATTAAAAGTACTGATTATTTTCATATGATTTTTTATTTTTATTTTAGGGAGAAAATAATTTTTGAAAATTTAAAAGTGCATTTAAAAAAAAAAAATCAAATTAGTTTCTATTTTTTAAAAGAATCAAAAAACAAGTTATGAAAACTCAACTAAATAAAGGATCAATTTTATTACATTAGCAACACATTTATGTATGGAAACCTAGGCTCCGTTTGATTCTCGTTTGAAGGAAAAATCAACAAACTTGCTGGTAAATTGTTTTTGAAAACAGTTGTGAGAAATTTTCTTTTAAACAAGTTGTTTTTAGGAAATATCAAAATTTTATTTTTAAATTTTTCAAAACAATTAACATACAAAATGAAAATGAAATAGGTGTTTTCAAACTTTTCATTATTTATTTAGTTTTTATTTTTGAAAGCACAAATGAAGAAACCAAAAATGATACTAGATCCTTGTATCTTCCTTGTTTAATAAGATAAAAATATGAATCAAATTTTCTCCCAAATGTCTATAAAGCAAGAAAAGGGAAAAGGAAAATTGAACTCAAAATTAAGAATTTAATTATTCCTTATTTTCCCTCATTTTTTTGTCTTCTATTACTTCACTTTCCTAGATAACTAAACAACAGAAAGTGATTTCTTTGCTTTCCTCACTACATTAATGAACCAAATGAAACCCTCTGAAAAAAAGAAAATAAAATATTTTCAACAAGGGATTATTCTGACTTTGAAAGTAATGTGTTAGTAGTTATTTTAATGGTGTTGGTGGCGATGTGTAGTTTTGTGGTGGTGTTTGATAAGATTTTAATTCATATATATTTTTTTTTACTTTTCAAGAGTGAAAAATATTTTTCTTCCAAATAAACTTGTTTTCTGTTTGATCATAGCTTTCACCAGTTCACCTAAAATCAATTGGTGTTAGAAACGGTTATAGCTTTGTATTAAACTTGTGTTTGTAGTGGTCAGTGCACTGTCAGTGATTAGTCTGCAGAATTTAGATGGGAGGTGGATTATTTGGCTCCAAACTTAACACAATCTCCCAAGAAAACACCTTTGGTGATTGAACACAAGCCTTGTGCTTTGACATCACTCGAATTTCATTTTTCATGAGAAAATATAGAAAACATATTTGCCAAACAAACGAAGTTTAAAAGGATATCACAAAAAAAAAAAAAAAAAAAAAATCTATGACTTTCATTTTTCGTCATATATATGCTTAATATGATAAATATAAAAAGTGAGAAAAACCAAAAAAAAAAAAAAAAAATGTATTTATACCGGAACAAACGGAGTTTAGAAGGGAAAAATCGTACCTTCTTCTTGTTGTCACGAGGTTTTTGGTCTTGCTTTGCAGGCTTCTTTGGCTTGTTCATTGAAGTTTTAGGAATACAAATCCCACCAGCATTGGGTGCACAAATACTGTTGTCGGATGGGCTGTCATGCTTACTAGGTCTCCCATTTTTGTTGTTTGATGCCATTTTTGTTGGGAAAACTCTTTTGCAAATAGAGGTTTTAAAAAAAACTTGATATGTTATTACCCTACAAATTATACTCTATAACACCTCTATTTATACCAAAGCATCATTTGTCTTGGATGGAAAGTCATATACAGTAAAACTACATATTCAGAAATTTATCAGTTTGTGGTCAAGATTCATTTTCAATTCTGAACACATTTTCTGGCGGGTAAATTGTACACGTTTATCTCATGTTAATAATTTCAATTACATCATTTTTGTCTTTTAATTTTTCACACTGCTTCAATTTAATCCACTTGATAATAACAGTTAAGAAATTGGGTTGAAATCAAGAGTTAAAAGATCAATTCTTTAAGAGTAGACCATTTCAAATTGAACGTCAACCCTTAATTTGAGGAGTCAACGTAAAAATTTTAAAGATAAAATTAATGCAAGAATTAAATTGACACAAGATACAAATTAAAAAGACTATTGATGTGATTTGCTCTAATAAATATATGTGTGCGTTATATTTGATTCATATAAAATATTCTAATGAAACTTAATGAATTACAATCATAATAATGAAAATCAAATACAAACTATATAAACAAAGAAACTCCAAAGGTGGGAGAGAACCCAATACAAAATAAGACTTACACGCAAATAAAGAGATTTAAACTACTAACCTCTTAGTAAGATGTAAAAATTCTGACCAATCGAACTAGCCTGTTAATTGCTCTAATAAATATGTTACCAGTGCAAGAATAATTAAGTACTGTAAAAAAAAGAAAAACAATGGTTTAATGGAATAGAATAATAACTTAAATGGAGATGGTTTTGGGTCTTCTTTTTCTCCACTTTTGATTTAAGCATCATATGCTTTTCTTTGTCTTGGTTTGGTTTTGCTTAGATTCTCTTTTAATATAGAAGGGTATTGTTCTCCAGCATCCGTGGTAAATATATGTATAGAATAATGCTACACAGAGGGATAAGTAAACACAAGTACATTGGGCTCATCAATGGGACGATTCGAGCTTATCTTATTCGCAATTATTATATTTACGTTTGATATATTATTGAATTTTTTAAATTTTGATCAGTCAATATGTTAATACGAATCAAACTTATTTAAAAAAATTAAAATCACATCTCACTCATAAGTCCAATCTTATGGCTAAAATCAAAATGAACCGAGTTACATATTTTTTATTAGGCTTATATTATTAAGTTCTACCCATTTATTTTTTATCTTTTATAATTCATATTATCAAATTAATTAATAATATTAAAACAATCAAATTAAAGTACAGATTCACCAAATTAATAAATTATGACAATGTTATATATGTAAAAATAGTTGAGAGTTAGGAAGATATTACCGGTCATTGTCAAATTCAATTTTAACAATTTGTGTTTTGTATATTTTTTTAAAGTATAATTTACAAGGATAATATTGACTGTCAAATGTTGTTATTTTTTTTTTATAAATGAAACAATATTAAAATTGAATTTAACAATGTCATTTTTTTAGATAATATTAAATTATTTTTTTTTGACAAGATAGTTTGAGTTAGGCTGATGGGATGATCAGACTGGATTTACCCATGCGGGCTTGTACATGTCGAGTTGATGAGCGAGTTTAGGTTTGAAATCTTTGTTCAAAACTCTAAATCTTCTTCTATGAGATGAAACGGGTTGGGCAGTCAAGCAGGCTAAGACGAACCATGGGACGAATTAAGTAACATCAAGTCTTTTGCCCGCAAGCCATTTGATAACCCCTGCAAGTAGACTTCAACTAACGTGGTTGATATTAAAGCTTGCCTAATATAAAACGTCTATAATTGATTTGGGTTTCTGCCATTTCAAAACAAAGAACCATTGGAACGAATGTTTGTTAGGATTTTTCTTGAGTTTGAAGATGTTTCAAGGTTCAAATTTCCACTAAAAACACAAGTCCATGAATCCCCTTAATTCATTGTTCTTCTCTTAAACACTAAATTTTGGGTTCAAGAGCATGCATCATTATGCTTACATACTCATATTGAGGTAATTATTCTATAGTATCGAAACATCATGCAACATTATTTGCGTGGTATTTTAAAATCAATCATCTAGGGAATTTTTTGGTTGTGGGACACGCTGACTTGTTTTTGTAAAATAATTAGGAGACAAATGATAATTCACTTCATGTGTGTTATGATTTTAATGATCAGAAATATCTCGTAAACAATACCACATAATACTCTAAAAAAGTAGGGTTATTTACAATGAAGACCCCTAAACTATAAAAAGGTATATATAGATTCTCTAGACTATTGAAAAGTATTACTTTGCTTTCTAAACTATAAAAGAGTACAAATGTTCCTAAATTATAAAAACGTTCAAATTAGGCTGTTAACGAAAGAAGTCAAAGTGAAATATGTCAATAGTTTAGGAGATTTATTTATACGCTTTTATAATTTAAAATATTAAAATGATATTTTTCAATAATTTAGAAAATCTCTATATAAATAACCCAAGTTATCTGATAATTTTCTATCCCATTTGGGGTATGACAAGAGCCTAATTTTGTTCATCTAGGGAGAATTTTCTTCAAAAGAATAAGGTAATTCTGTTAAAGGAACCATATCTTTGATGAGATAAAGATGTCCAACAATTTTCTTACTTGATTGGAACCATTGAGAAAGTGCCGTGTGAGAATCATCGATGTGTAGTGACTCAAGATTTTTTTTTTTTTTTTAATTTATGAAATTTAAAACAAAATATTAAAATTAAATCTTATTTTATTGGAATTTTAAAAAATTAAATCCCATTAGGACATCCTCTCTCCAATTCTTATTCTTCTATTCCTCCTCCTTTTCCCTTCTTCTTTTCATTTTCCTCACTCCCCCCATTCACCCTCCATCAGTGCCGGAGGGAGTGAAAAGTGCCATGTGAGAATCATCGATGTGTAGTGACTCAAGATTTTTTTTTTTATTTATTTATGAAATTTAAAACAAAATATTAAAATTAAATCTTATTTTATTGAAATTTAAAAAAATTAAATCCCATTAGGACATCCTCTCTCCAATTCTTATTCTTCTATTCCTCCTTTTCTCTTCTTCTTTTCATTTTCCTCACTCCCCCATTCACCCTCCATCAGTGCCGGAGGGAGTGAAGGTCATGTGGTCACATGCCCCTCTTAGATTATGAGATTTTTTTTAAAAAAAATTTGTAAACATAAAGAAAATATTTTAAATAAAAAAATTATAAATATATTATTAGAGTGAAATGTTAATGACATTTTAAAAATTATGAGAACAATAATGATTATTTTAATTGAAAATAAAGAGATTAATATAAACCATATTATCTATGAAATTTTTTGAATGTAACGGTGATATCGTTATTATTGACATGCAAGTATAAATAATCTCACTGTAAATATATGAAATTTATTGAATTGTTAATTACATTTGACATGCGAGATTCACTTTCTATGTGTTTATATACTATTAGTTGGTGATATTACATATCAATGATGACGTGGTATTACTAATATATTGAATTTTTAATCAAATTTTGTATAAATTTTTTTATCATTATGTATTTTATTTTAGGATAATTGATCCATAAATCCCATAATGTGGAATTAGAAACTGATTAGTCCCATATTTTAATTTGAACACACAAAGGTCCTATTTTGTTTTGTTTTACGTTTTTGTCCTTAAGAAATGGGTTTTTTGTTTTGGCAAATAATGGTTCATTAATTGGAGTAGATGTAACGTTATAGAAAAACGCACTATAGTGTTTTTATGATTTGGGCTGACCCAAATTTGGAATGTGGCCCACATTTATTCATAACACAAACTTGGTTTAGTTCCCCCTCCCCACATTTGCAGGTGTTGGCGTTTGAAAAACTGAAGTACTGCGCGTGCTTCTAGTAATTAGGGTTTTGCAAGGTAATTTGTGAGGGCCTGATCCCACATTGCAACAATCCACATTTGGGGAAATTCATCAACTAAACGTAGTACAGGCTGTGGATGTGATCGGTATTGTAACAGTGTGCGATTGTTAGGGTCACGAAATCTGTGGTGGAATAGAAGGGAGGGGGTTGTGATTTGTTGTAAATCGCGCAATTACCGTGATTGAATCTCAGATTTGGCGATGTAGATATGCAATGGAAGGGTGAAAGTGTACAACAACCCAATAACCCCCAAATCCAATTCAATCTATAGTGTCAAACGTAACGTCGTAGTTCAGTGGCGAGGGTTGGTGTAGTGGGCGACATTGATACGTGTGTCTGGTATTGCATTCACGATTTGGCAATCCAAATCCGATGACTACTCCGCGATGCAGTAAGTGTCCACATCTGTCATTTCGATTTTGTGAACTGTGTTAGTTTTGAATGTGTTGTCATGCAATATTTTACATGTTTAGTGTCTGGTGTGTAAGTGTTGGTAGTGATGGGGTTTTAGAAATGATGATGTGTTGTTGTTTAATATTACAAGAACTTTGCGTGGTACTGGTGTTTTGGGTATTAGGTTTTTTGATTCATGGTTGTAGTTTAGGTGTATGGGATGTGGTTACATGGATGGGAGTGTGTGTATGGATTGTCGTCGTGGGCTGGTGGAAGTTGTTGAGAGGAGAAAGCTTGTGTGTTTTGGGAGCAGGGGTTTGAAGTGGCATGCGTTTTGGTGGTGTGGGAGTGTGGTGCTGTTGGTGTTGTGATGTTAATGCGCGTGGACGTGTCTTTCTTCATATTTATTTGTGAATGTGTGTGTGTTGTTGTTTTGCTGCATGCATTAAGAACGTAATGTGGTAGTTAGTTGGGTGTGCGTGCACACACACGCCACGGTGTTATATCGTGGTGTTGCGGTTTGCACCGTATGCGTGTTCACTTTGTTGTCGGTATGTAAGTTGATTTTGTGGGGTGTTGAGAAGTGGGGTGCGTTATGGTTGTCGTAACTGTGTTGTAGTAGTATGGTGGGGTGTCCTGGCGTGGCTGTGCATGAATGTTTGTTGGTGGCATTTGTGAATGAAGGTGGCAATGCATGTGTTGGGGTGTATGATATGTGTTTACGTAATTGTGTTTGTTAATGAAGTTAGATGTGCCTGCAG